CCTCTCAAGTTCTACTGGAGACAGCAGTCTAAGACAATGCAGTACCAGCGTCTTCAGGAGCTTAGGCTCGAAAGTGACTGGAAACTCAAATAGTGCTTCTTGTCAAAGAGAAGTGGTTTAAAACACTGTTCCACCTTTAAACAAATCAGCAGGCAATAAACTCCTGCTATACATTCTCATTTAAACCAAAACGAAATACCAGAATACCTTCTAACTGTGGCCAGTTTGGTTGGCTGTTTTGTTTTATCAGGCGTGTCTTTGTTCTCAATGGGATCAGGGTAGAAGGCAGGGGAAAAAACAGGGCTGAGGAGAGAGCCAGAAAAAAATGGCAAATAGCAGAAAATGGAATCGAATCTATTTGCATGACATGGAGAGTTAAAGAGAGTTCCAGATATGCTATTTTAAAACAAATATTAGCAATTCAACACGGCTTTTCAGGAGTTTATATAACTCCCTGTAAAACAAAGGGCTAGCCATAAAATTGCTCTAGACAATAGGATTCTAAATCCTATTAATCTGTAAAAGAGTTCAATTCCCTAGAACACTAAAGAGGTTGTATCAGAACTGAAAAGCAGAGAAGGGGGTAAGGTCAGCCTCCTGGAAGAATTCCTTTTTGTACTGCCTAGCAAGATCCCTTGTAGATGGGTGGGCCAGGAAGAGCAGGGAGTGGGCGGGCCATCAGTACCACTGTGGAAATTTACGACAGCTCTGAAATTGCCTTGAGATGTAAGCAAGTTATTACTCTTCTTGGAGTTTCAACTACTAGAGTAAATAACGCTTTTTCTAGCAGAATGCTTATCCACTATCACCAGTGAGAGCTCTTCTGTGCAACTCTGTATGCCAGGAATGAGCCAAATACATTCATTATCATAGTGCAAATCAGGATTACCATCATCTAAAATATTTCTTTGGCCTTAAGGATGGCTAAGGCTGGGGCCAGTAGAAGGTGTAATGGTTACACTGCTGGACTTCCATGCAGTCGACCATGGTTCAAGTCCCAGACCTGTTGGCTTAAACTCATACTGGGCGCGTGTGCGTGTGTGCCCAAAATCCTGTGAGGAGAATGGAGTTCTCTCTGGCAAGTGCATGTGCCTTCCAGCAAAAATCTCTCTCTCTCAAAAAAAAAAAAAATGGCTAATGGTGGGGTCAGCAGGAGGGTAAGGCGGCTGAATTTCACATGGCAGCTTGCAGGGTTTGAGTCCCAGACTTGGCAGCTTGAAAGTCATGCCAGGTTTGCGTGTGCGTGCTCGAAATCGTGAAAGGAAAATGTAGGAGAACAGGTTATGGTGTGGTCGTTCTCCTGGGGATGATTTCTCACTCTCCTTCTCTCCCTCTGTCTCTCTCCAGTGAGCACATGCACCCCAGAGCAAAAATCTGGAAAGAAAAGAAAGAGAAAGAAAGAAAAGAAAAAAGAAAGCGAAGAAAGGAAAAGAGAGAGAACGAAGAAAGAAAGAAGAAAGAGAAAGAAAGAAAGAAAGAAAGAAAGAAAGAAAGAAAAAGAAAGGAAGGAAGGAAGAAAGAAAGAAAGAAGGAAGGAAAAAGTTAGAAGGAAGAAAAACACTAATCCGGATACGGGTCAAGTTTGGAGAAGTAAGACATCAGGAATGTCCCAGTTCCTCGAAGACCAGCGTGTGCGTATTCACGGTGCTTTTGTGCTGCCTACGGTACCGTCCCAGGTTCTGCAGGTTGATATGAGACTCCACACTCCTGGTCATCCATGTTCCAGAATAATACTTAGAGTACTTTAAAAACATGCTGAAAGCTATTGTCGTGAGTGTTCACTTACGGTCTCCTGTTTCTCCGAAGGTCGGGGTTAGGTTACAAATTTTGGTGACACAGGCAGACTAACGAAGGGGCTGTGGCCCAAAGAGTTACACAGAACTGTACGGACCTTGGTATCACAGGGCTGTTTCCTCATCAGTTTACAGGTCACGCCTCTCTAAGGCAAATGACCAGCAGCACTGTCACAGTGGAAACCCGAGAGGCTTACGGTGAATGTGAACTGTTGATCCGTGAAGCAAGGCTGGCCGTAGAGCTCTATACGGCTGTGATATTCAAAGTGTTTCACTTTGAGCAGACACCAAGAGCTCCAGGTACTAACTGAAAGAGTAGATGCTAAAGAACACAGTTCTGACACAGACGATGACGTCAGTTCTCTAATGTAAATTAAAAAGCTCACGTGACTGTTTGATGTGAGGAAGCATGTGTTATTTTATTTTCTTTTAAGGTTTTGCCATAGGGCATGTGCACTGGCTTGGGAGAGACAGAGAGAGAGAGAGATAGAGAGAGAGAGAGAGAGACATCACCCCCTGGGGGGGTCAGCCACCTCCAATTTCCTCTTCTCCATTCTCCTGAGATTTTAAACACACGCACACATGCCCAGCGTGGTTTTCAAGCCACCAGGTTCAGGACTCAAACTGAGGCTGACCATGTGGGAGTTCACCATCTTAACACACGCCACCTGCTGGCCCTGCCAATGTGTCCTGTCGCTCATTCCTAACTTAGTATGCTCACAGCTGTACTTTGGATTACTTTCCTGATTCAAATTAACTGTACAATTCTGTTTCAACAACATAAAAATCTGGCAAGAACTTATTAAAGCAAGAGAGGCATCAAAAAATGAAGTCAATAATTTGCTATTTGCGAGATTCTTTTCTGAACAGACGAGCTTGTCAAAAAGTGATGGTTTACTGATGTATCGAAGAAGTTCTCTGAACGCAGCTTCCAGCCTGGATTTACAGGCAGGAAGCATAAGCTGCCAAGTACGAAAATAAAGCTAAGCCGGAGACGGGGACACGCAGGCGAGGGAAGGGCGGTGTGCGTGCTCGCCCTGCACACGGGGCCAGGGCGGAAGGGAGTGCCCTGGACAAGCTGGCGCACCTCGACTGCACGCTCCTCTTCGAAGACCTGTAGGCATGAAGTCACCCCAGAATGTACCTGTGAAACGCAGTCTTCATGTTAGGGGTGGGGCAGACGGGAGACAGACTGGGAACTGGTCTTAGCAAACGGACAGGTCACAAGAGAGTGCTGCTTGGCAGCGAATCAACACCCCAAATGGACATAATTGAAGGAAATTAAATTTCCCAACAGGAGAACAAAAGGACAACCACTTAATGCCCCTGGAAAGACAATTATCTTTCCC